GACAAGTAAAAAAAAAAAGAGAAAATGACAAGTAAAAAAAAAAGAGAAAATGACAAGTAAAAAAAAAAGAAGAGAAAATGACTGTAGGGTATTGTCGTCGGTTCAGTCCGTCTCTTCGTGCTCTTTCTCTTTACCCCTTTCGCTGTCGCATAGATGTGCAACAATTGATTACAATTTATCCAAAAAAAAAAAAGAGAAGAAAAAAGAAAAGAAAAAGAGAAAATGACAAGAAAAAAGAACGAAAACAAGTCCGACAATTGATGACATGTGATAGCTCTGCGACAATTAATTTTTGCCGTTTATTTGAAAAAAAAAAACAATTTGTTGTCGGTTATCTGTCCTGTGCGTTTATGCAGCAGCGAGGCACATCAACCGACACATGTTAGGTTGGACGCACAGGGGAAGGTTCGTGGATGTATTTGACTGCTGCGAACGTCCAGATTCACGTCGACGGACATGCATCAACGCCCATAAGCATGTTAGGTCATATCCACACACGGTTAGGTTCCTGAATGTATTTGACTGCTGTGAACGTCCAGATTCACGTCAGCTGACATAAGCATGTTAGGTCATATACACACACGGCAAGGTTCCTGGATGTATGTGACTGCTGCGGACGTCCAGATTCACGTCAACGGATATAAGCATGTATAAGTCAGGCTATGGTAGAATCGGTTGATATGATTGATTGATTAATGATTGTTTGATGATTGATTGATGATGTACTTTATTGATGATCGATTGATGATTTGCTTTATTGATGATCGATTGATGACTTGCTTGCTTGATGATGGATTGATGATTGGTTGACGATTTGATTGAATCGGTTGATGATTGATTGATTGATTGATGTTTTTGTTGAATCTTTTGATGATTGACTGACTGCTGTGAACGCGTCCAGATTCACGTCAACGGTTCGTGCAGGCTAGGGTAGAATCCGTTGATGATTGATTGATGATTTGATTGAGTCGGTTGATGATTGAGTGATTGATTGATGATTTGATTGAATCGGTTGATGATTGATTGATTGATGATTTGATTGAATCGGTTGATGTGGCGGGCCATGCATTTACGGAATGCCAATCAGGAATCAGGGGCCGTCTCTCGGCAGCAAATTAACCAATTAATTCATTAATTGAACCATTTATTTAATCAACAATTAATCATAATCCACCAAACAGGAATCACGGGCCGTCTCTCGGCAGCAAATTAAGCAATTAAGTCATTAATTAAACCAATTATTTAATCAACAACTAATCATCATCCAGTACTAAATTAAACAGCCTAAAAACAATCTTCAGCACGATCATCGGAGTTAAGTCATCAATCAATTAAGCTGGCAGCCAACTAAACAATTAGTAATTCATCAATTAATAAATCTTTTAATTCAACGACAATTAATCATCAACCGGTACTAAATCGAACAGCAATTCTTCAATCAATCGTTCGTGGAAAATGAATTCATCAGTCAATCAATCAATCAATCAATCAATCATCAACCGATTTTATTATGTTGAACAGTCGATGAGATGAAATCAAATCATTCATTCAATCGACCGATCATCAATCAATCAGTGAAATCAATCGATCGATCAATCAAATCAATCAGTGAAATCAGTCAATGGATAGATCAGTGGATGGATCGCTCGATCGCTCGATCAAATCTATCAATTGATTAATCAAATCAATCAATGGATTGATCCATCAATTAATCAAATCAACCAATGGATGGACCGGTCGCACATCAATCGGGAATCAATCAATTCTCCAATCAATCAATCAATCAATCAAAGGGTTGATCACTTGCTTACTCGGTCGATCAATCCATCAATCTCAGGCACCACTCAACCAACCAATCGATCACCCAATCAATCAATCAATGAATTCATCAACCAGTCAATCGACGAAGAGTTAAGGTATAGAAAATCCTTATTGATCTCGTTGTTTTTTTTTTTTTTCTGTGCTTAGGCTCAAAAGGAGGCTTTGGAGAGTGGCCTGGTGACGCTACAAGACATTGAGATGATTGCTGCAGATCCCTTGGGTGAGTCTTTTCTCTGCTGTTTTCCCCCTTCCCCCCGCCCCCCTCCTCTCCCGTACTTTTCCCTTCCCCCCCGCCCCCCATGTTTATAGGCCCCGTCCCCCCTTTTTCCTTCAACCCACTCCGAACAGGTGGTGGAATGTTTCCGTCATGTAGACAGAGAAGGCTTGCTCTCCCCATCGCCCCCTCCCTTCCCCCCCCCACCGGGGCCCTCTTCCCCTTATTACCCGTCTTTTCTTCCTTAGCGAGGTAGGTAATTTACAATTTCTCCTGCTTTTCTTCTTTTTCTTCTTTTTGAAAACAATAGCTTTGTTCCAAGGACTTCATTTTCTCTCTTTTTTTTTTTTTTTATTAAACCGCTTCTTGTTTGCCTGTGTTGATTGATTTACTTTTTTTTTTGTGGAACTGGTTTTGGTTTCTAGGTACTGAACGACGGTTGCTTTCACTTCTTCTTCTTCTTCTTCTTCTTCTTCTTCTGTTTTGTCTTCTTCTTTTCTGTTTTTGTCTTCTTCTCTTCTTCTTTTCTGTTTTTATCTTCTTCTTCTTCTTCTTCTTTTCTGTTTTCTCTTCTTCTTCTTCTTCTTTTCTGTTTTCTCTTCTTCTTCTTCTTCTTTTCTGTTTTCTCTTCTTC